GCAGCGCGCACTGTCATGAACAGAAACTGGCCGCGTGGACGGACATCCGTTATTTCCTGCGAGTTTCCTTCTCGTCCAGGGGCTTCGGTCTTTCTCCATGTGCCTTCCTGTCCCACCAGCACGATTTTCAGGCTAAGAGTAGAAGTAAACGACACGCCATGCTGGGCAACTTTTCCGGCGCTGCGAACCCCTCAGTGCTACTGAGATTGTGGGTCTGGGTCCTCAAGTGGGAGCGGCTGGCCTCAAGCTCAGAACACCAGGGCCAGACCCAGCTTCCTGCCTGTGTGATGAGGTCCGTTGGAAATAAACGGAATGGAAACACGTGGGGAGCTGGCGACCAGCGCTGTGGAGCTGCGGGGTCAGCAGAGCAGGGACGGCCATGTGTGTGCACAGAGACCACACGTCTCAAATGGGGGGCGGGGGGATTTCCTGTTTATAATCTCTGCCCCAACAAATGCGTTTTGACAAACCATGATTCCTGAGGTTTGTTTAGAAACATGGTCATGAACGTCCCTTGATAGAATTTATAGATTCTACAATGACACCCTCCTCCCAAGTATCTAGCTGCTCATCTTAACTATCTGTGCTTTTACTAGTGTTATTAAAATATTATTAGCAAAACCCAAAGTGTCGAGAGCGCTTTACAGAGTGCAAAGCCCTTCCACGTTTATTTTCTCAGCTAGTACTAATGACCCTGGGAAGGAGAAAGACTGGCCCAGGTATCTCAGTGGCAATTATGCAAGATCTGTCTGATCGCGCTGGGAGACCAGCTCAGAGAGGCCGCAGCGCCCCCATCGAGGGAGGAGCTGGATTGCAGCTCTGTGCCAGCCGAGCAAACTTCTCACTGCGCCAGGTCCAGATGTTGTCCTAGTGGAGGTTGCCATCGAAATGTACCCTCATTTGAGTGGTCATTTATCAAAGAAAAGGGGGCTTTATAAAATAAAAGAGGGATTTTGAAACCCAGAAAGATGGCCCTGGGGAGCTTTAAGGGACATTAAGCTTCCTGGGAGGAGCTGGTTGGCAATATTCCCAAAGCAGCTGAGAAACCACAGAGGGTGTTGCTGGCCAGCTCTTCAAGTTCAGGGTGAAAATTCAAAGAGAGACAGAGGGCCACAAGGAGAAGAAGGAGTGCCAGAGAGATGCACCCCCTTAGATGGTGCGGTCTGTAGGAAGGCAGAGGTAGGGGAGAAAGAATGTGAGATGGGGCGGGCATGCAAGTGGCCCCATCACTTCTCCTTCCATTCCAGTGGTCACACCAAACTGCAACTCAAAGTTAGTTAGGAGCAAAGTATGGATTTGGGGAGTCAGGGTTCTCCAGAGAAACAGAATCAACAGCACATATTGAGGGGGGTGCTGGCTCACATGATTATGGGGTTGGCAAGTCTGAAGTCCACAGGGGGGGCTGGGTGGAAGTTCAGGAAAGACCTGATGTGGCAGTCTTCACTCCAGATTCCACAGGGCAGCCAGCTGCAAACCTGGGCAGCCTTTCTGTGTTGCAGAATTAAGAAAAATTCCTTCTTATTTGGGAAATCTCAGTCTTTGCTTTTAAGGCCTTCAACTGCTTGGGTGAGGTTCCAGTCACAGTAAGGATGGTCGCCTGCTTCGCTCAGAATCTACCGATTGTGAATGTCCATCACACCTAGAAGATACCTGCGCAGCAACAGCTGGAGCGTTTGGCGGAACACACGGCAGCCAGACTGACATGAAATAAACCACCACAGACGCCAGGTGTTCACAGGGCCTGCTCGGAAAGAGGCAGTAAAGGAAGGGGCAGGGGGACAGCTTCAGGCAGAGGCATTGACTTTTGCTAGTTTTGTACCTTTAAATATTTAATTTAAAGCTATAAAACTATATAAAATTTTTCACCAGTAGGGGGCGCACAGGAGGCAGCGGATCTATGTTTCTCTGTCTCTTTCAAAATTAATTTTTTTTAAATCTTTTTTTTAAAAAAAAGAACGAACATTGGCTACAGAGGCCTGGGTGGAAAC